CCGCTGCACCTACGTCAATTACCTAACGGTTTAATATTGTGTATACGTATCATCATAAAGGCGCAAAAGCGTTCACAAATGTTCCGCGACATCGAAACTTCTATTAAAATAAAGTAACATTTCACACTCTCAATCATAAAGTGACTTAATTCGAAAAGTGCCATTTCTACGAAAACTGACAATACAAATAAAAAAATTACATTGTAAATAAAATATTGTTTTATTAGGCCAGCTAAATCATAAATGGCAGGTGTCACGTAAGTTAATTTTTTTAAATCTATTTTGCCAGTGTCCCAAAACTTACTTTTCATTATTGAGTGACATTATTATTGAGCGTGCGATTTGAAGTATACAACACCAAAACTTGAATTGAACGTTCATTAAAAATTTATATTTTACAATTTCAGATTTTCGATCAAAGCGTCAACCGATGACACAGTCCCTTCACTTCTATGGCGCAGCCAAAATGTTGGATATTTCGCACATTTGTAATAAGGCCACAACTGCAAAATGACATCTTTTCAATAGAGAGGTTTAAAGATTGTACGTAAGAAAAATAATCGATAGCTTATATATCCAAGCGACGGGACGGACAAGTCGTGCGCCTGGTGGTAAGCGACACGTCTATCCATAACAGTAGCACTGCCACTCAGAGCTTTATATCGCAAAGATCTTAGGGGAACCGCCACTGCGCCCGTCACCTTGAGACATAAGATGACAAGTTCCAAGTGCCTGTAATTTCACCAGCACCCTTAATCATCCAAACCGGAAAGCAGTAACGCTCACGTTACTGCTTGGCAGTAGAAATAGGTAACGTGTGCTTCCCTGGACGAACTCTTTCACAAGGCCATCTACTACTACTAAATGTCTTTATTTCATGTAGTATGTATTTGTTGTATGACTGTGATAACAGTATTTTTGACGTATTATCACATATGATTTTATTGTGCCAAGGGTGCAATTACGTTCCAACAAAAGCGTGTAATTTTGAGGTCAAGACAATTTTCATGACACTGAAAAATACTTGTCTGGTATTGCTTTTTCGATTTCTGAATTATAACACTATTTGCAGTAGTGTTTATATACCCTGTTAGAACTTCAGTGCACCTTAAATTTTAAAAGCAGTAGAGCGCCTTGTGAGAGAGTTCGTCTAGGGAAGCAGTGCCACTTTACCTTTTTCTGCCGTCAAGTACTGTGGACATTATTGCGTTTCGATTTTGAAGAGTGCTGGTGAAATTATAGGCACATGGGACTTGTCATCTTGTGTCTGAGGGTGACGGGCGCAGTGGCAGCACCCCTTAGATCTTTGTCATTTAAAGTTCTGAGTGGCATTGTAACTCCACACAGAACAAGCGAGTACCACAAGACCGTATTAACACACTCGTCACCTTCTCCCCAAAGCACGGCCGTTTCTATCGGTAAAGATGTATTCGCAAAATTGTGTGTCGCAGTAACGCTTTGATCGAAAATTCTTGCTTAATATTTAAAAAGAAGAAACGAACATCTACAGAATAATATTACTACGTCACAAAAATTTTGTTATAGATCACATCGTCCAAATGCATTCGCTTTTAATTTTTTATAGGTATCCATAAGACGCTGTGGCGTTAAGCTTATAGCATTTCTCGTTGCTTATTTTAGCGAATAATTGCTTTAATATTTTTTTTATGTTTGTTTTAATAAGAATACTTTAAATGTCCAGCCATAAAGTCTCTCTAACGCGCAAGACAGTGCGCTCGCCAAGCTATGCCGTATTTTAAAATATTCTTAAAACAAACATATTCCCAAATAGTGGTCAGAGGACTGTTTTCTAAATGTAAATATACAAGTTGAAGTGACATATGAAGTATATACAAATGAGACTTTATTATCTTAAAAAATACCTAAGTATCAAAGATTTATAGGCACAAGAAACTTCATAATTTACGTGTGCATACATTTTGCGCTATCGTATTATGTGCATCGGTTGCTTATAATATTCCAAAAGAGAAATATTTATGAAGTAATTATAGAAATAAATTTTAACTTTAACACTATTACGGATTTTTCATTGACTTTTGTTATACAATTAACAAAAAACTAAATATATTTTAGCAAGTATAACAACATTGACTATTCAGTGCAATAATTAAACAAACCAATTGATAATTCTAGGTGTAATAAATGCTTGTATATCACAAATAGTAAATCTTTGTAAAGTTAATCATTTCTACTATTGTTTTTCATAAGTTCAGAGTTTGTAGTGTAGATATAATTAATTAATATAAAATTTGTTTAATCACGCCAGTAGAGCACGGCCAAGTTCCAGAAATCTATGACTATGTTTACACTCTAGATTACTTTATTGGAGTTGAGTATTCTCTCGACAAGTAGACGTTTGGTATTACATTAGAGTCACATGCAGACTCGTATTAGACTAGATAGAAAATTAATAATAATATTAATATAATTATTAGTGCGATTAAGATTCTTTGATTTAAATATTTGATCATTAATAGTTAGTGTAACATTTAGTGACGCCGATAATAATCAGGAACAATCCTTCGCATATTTTTTTTATACAAGATAAAATTCTTATAGCTTATTATACGCGCTGTCTGTAGCTTCCTTCTTTAGGTATTCGGCACGAAAATATTTGAACGTTCATAAATTAACAGTAGAATTTACCTTACACCTATGTTATACAATTTTTATAAAACACAAGGGAACTTTTTGAATTCTTTTTACTATACACAAACAGCTAGCTTGTACTAAACATCGAGGCGATAGATTTAAACTACACACATAGTTTTTTATTTTTTGAATAATGTTTGAGAAAAATATTTTGGCAAAATATAATTTTCTGATAAATTGGGTACGTAAAATTAACAATATCACAGTATTTTATTTATTTTTGTAAACGCAGCAGGTCCTCGCAGTTTCCTTTCTCATTTGCGTTCCGAGTCGTCTACGCAGAATATTGTACATACATATGATGCAAAACAATCTTTAAAAATCACCTAAAAGTAATTTTGCTACAATTGTTACCCAAAGTGGGTCTTGGCTTCAGACAAAAGATTCCGTTATGGACCCCGTTTCTGAGCCTGCTCTTGCTGGTTAATAACAATATTTGGTATCTATAATTTATTTTTTTAATTGTTAAGCTTATAGAATTGATGGAATTGAATGAAATAGGAAAAGAAATTATCTGATAACAATACATCTTTATGTAATGCTTGTTTCCTGTATTTAACTCGTTCGGTTAGCGCTCTTGCAAGAAGCTAAATAGGACCGGTTTGTGTTTCAAATTGAAAACAAAATTATTTTTCTCAAACAATATCCTAACGGCATATAATTTCCTAAAAATATTGACAAAAATTGTGCCATTACATACAACACTTGTGAATCTTAATAAGGCAATTTTAGACAGCACTTATAGTTGATTAGATTACGAGGGAATAGATCAAAAAACTATAACGCATAAGGTTCAATTTTGACAGTACATATTATGGACATTATACATAATGTTAATTTCGAATGATTAGAGAATTATAGTGTACGTAAATATTAGTAGTATAGTGTATTTATTTGAAAATTGTAATATTCCTAACAGTCTTTTAATACAGTTTCACATATAGGCTAAATTTATGTTTATAGAGGAAAGATACTGTCTTCTTCTTTGTGTTATTACTATCAGAGATTGGACATCATTATGACAATTCTAACTTTAGAGACTGCCGCTTTAAACAGTTGTTCTCGGATTATGTATTACACATTGCGCAATACTTAAATAATTACGAAGTTGGATTAAAACAGATTGTGTTAATTATGATACTTTATAGTATAATTATAAGAGATGCGTATTTGTATTGGATAATTATAATGGAGTACAGTACTGTGTTTAAATTTCTTAGGGAGAGAAAGAGAAGAGTAGAGTGAGGATTTAATGAATTGGACAAAATTCTGTCAAAATTTAAACCTTTAACGTTTAAAGGGAAATGGAGAAAATAGTTTTAGGAGATATGAAAATTCAAATTGTGTAAACTAGAATAATTTGAGCATTGTGAAGCTAAGCTCGTGTCGTAAGCTTGATGTAATATCAATTTTAATAAGTAATTTGACAACTTCGATCGTCTACAATCACTGGGTAATAATGTCACAGCCATAAAAAAAACTAAATGTACTAACTAAATGTGCTTTTAAGTTAAAAAGTAAGTACGTACAACCTTCTATTTTAAAATTAAAATATTACATTAATTTAGTGCTAAGAAAAAGCGTACAAGGCATATTCCTTGTAAAGACCAATTTTCTAGAATCTAAATCATGTTAATGAAGTTCCTTCAGTAATATATTTGTTCAGTAAAAAATTATTGCCATTGCATTTTTTGGCACAACTGTTAAAAATGCAAGTAAGAAGAATACAAACATCAAACCGTGAACTTAATTCGATTCCAAAACTGGTCTCATATAATTATTAGTACAAAATCTACATGGTTCTACGAAATAAACCTATGCAAATGGCGTATAGAGATAAATTTAATAATTTCAGTAAATATTAAGGGACAAATAAACACTAATATCTTATCAAAATTGTCAGGTATAAGAACAGTATATTAACAATCAGTCTCAAGCTAACACATGCGGAATGTCGATCATAATATAATTAATAAAGACACACTGACGAGGACGCTCCTTTCATAATAGCAGCCTTTTACGAGCATCAAAACAGTAACAACTGGAATCAATTAGAAACCAATTTCATCTCGGTGACCTCGTTTTTGTTTCAAGACTAATATTATAAAAAGTGCGCTTACAACCGACTTACTGCTAAAATCTACCAAAGTTGGTCCATCAGTTAAAAGATAACAGAGAAGCGCTTGATAGTCAAAGAAAGGACAGTGACCGCCACAAAGCCTCAAAGCCCACTCTCATAGAACAAGAAAGTAGCGGAACGATTACATAGAAATACTTTTTAGTTGTCCATAATTAGTCGTTAAAATGCACAATCACATTAGATCTGGTCTGATTCACTTTGTCTGTAATGTTCATCACTACAACTCTCCGAACATCGCCCTGTTAAGGCAAGTTCCGATATCTTTGACTCCAGAAAAGATTGTATAAGGTACAGTAGATTCGTTGGCTGTGGCGTGAAATCCCAGATTTATATAAATTATAATGTTATTACATTTCAAAAGTTTAGAGCCCAGAGAAATAATGCTCGGATTCAGTGAAATTTCGAAATGTGTCATGGTCCTGATCTCACATGCGTGACATGATCATGTAACGTCCGTCAGATAGGAGCTCTTTGGTGTCGGAAGGCGAACCGGGGCTAAGACTCATCGCCACTGAAGGTGTCGAATATGTGTCCTTGTTGAATCTACCCAGCCTCCTCTCGTTCTCTGATGCGACAGAGACTTCTTCTTCTACAATCTGCTCAAGTGGCGACTCTCTAAGCGCGTCACCATTCAAAGCCAAAGCGTTAACGAATCCATGGGCTCGATCTGGTGGCGGTTCTGAATAAGTTTCTATCATCGTTTCCGGCAACACTTCGGTGGCTCGCGCTCGCCTCGCGTTTTTAGTATGCATGCCACCGGTCTCTGCATCTCTCTCCAGTCTGTGTCCGGAACGGGATCGCGTCAACTGCCTCTGCACATAATCTTCCAACGCTTCTTCCTCGCTTTTAGTCAAATATTTGTGCAGCACAATCAAGAATATGCCGATCGTTAACGCGAAAAGTCCCGAACATACCAGCTCATTGAACCAGCTCACGGATCCTATACTGCTCCATGACGTGACGTTATCCGGTAGCCAGCCAGACGCGATGAGGAATACTCCAAGGACGACGAAAACAACTCCAAGGTGGAGCATTCCAACAGAGGAAACGACCTCATTGTCGGTGGTTCTAGTTTTTCGGAAGCGTCGTCTTTCGAGGCTGCCGGTGGAGCAGTGAGGGGAAGTGACTCCAGATTCTGAGGACTGGAGGGAGTAGCGGCGCTCGCGCGCGCGCTGCTGCTCGGCGCGGCGCTTGCGCTCGCGGCGGATGGCGAGCGCCGAGTGCAGGCCCACCGCGTGCATCCTGCAAGCACGGGCACGGGTGAGAGGCACGTCGCGTCGCAGGCGCACCGCACGCGCGTGACGCGCGCGTGGTACGCCTGGGACGCGGCGGAGCGGTGCGGCCGCAGGCGCGGGTTGCCGCACGCCCTTTGGAGTGACCGTCGACCCGTGCCCGTGCCGTGCCGCGATAACACAATACTGCTACTAGAAAAGGCTTGACCGAAGTTACAATTGGCAAGTACGTTCACTACATCTTGTTTTGTGATTGATGCAAAAGCCGGATCCAACAAAAGTCGAGCCTTTTCCATCCATCGACTGACTTTCGCGTAAACTATTCGCCAGTGTTAAAATTGATATAAGTTCAGTTCGATGACGTGAAAAGTAAGGCTAAAAATGAGTTGTAAAACATGACGGATATAAAAGTTACACACTTCTAAAAACTCATACGGTCGTGGAATAATTTCCGCCATTCCGGGCAAGCATTAAATTATTCGTAGAATTTTTCGAGGCCTACCTGCCCAGTCGAGACCCCTCACTCATTCTCTATATAAACTTCAGGCAAAAAAACTCGGGAAAATTTTTAAAATTGTTTTATCAATTTTCATTTTTATTTATCTTTCTACAAGTGCTCTTGTTAGTTGATGATGTTTTTGAAATACAAATGCTTGTTGATTTCTGAAGGTTCATATTTCGGGAAATTTTCCTAATATACCTACACCAAACAGATCTACCGGACCTCTATGAGCTAGTTGCAGATATATAGTATATTGAATCACAAACATGAGAATCCAATTACCAAGAATAGCTAAACTTCATTTGTGAATTAATTTTCTTCATTGGACTATTCCCTTAGATTTATATTTTGTATAAAAGCTAACATTCGTATGAACTAAGCAAGTACTTAGTAGCATTAGAGTTTCATTGTGAAAGAGTTAGTCCAGGGAAGTACTGCCACCTTACCTATTTCTGCCGCCAAGCAGTAATGTGAGCCTTACTGCGTTCCAATATGGAAAGGTAAAGGTGCTGGTGAAATTACAGGCACATGAGACTTGTCAACTTATGTCTCAGGGTGACGGGCGCAGTGGCAGTGCCCCTAAGATCTTTGCGATTTAAAGCTCTGAGTGGCACTGCAACTGGTATGAATACCGTAGTCTTGTATGTTCCGTCACTTGGCGTTGTAAAAAAAGCAAACTGATATAAAATCTTCCTTAATTCAACAATTTCAATAACTTCTCAACATCAAAGCACTGATAGATACCACTAAAAACCTGCTCGATAGCCCTTAGCTTGAAGATCCATTGGGATGTTAAGAGCCTTGGAGTAAAGTGGCGCATTGAACCTCTTTGGTTTGTGCATGGTTTTACAAATATTCACCGATAGGATTTTTAAAAGCTTTGACCTTTAAAACTTTTGCATTGTTTGAAATATTACAAGCAATATGTTATAGGTTAATAACAAACGAAACATTAAATTATAATCTTATATCCTTGATACAGCTTTTAAGGACATCGTGTATTATTATTTTGTAACTTTTAAAATGCTGGGAACGTAAGAGAAACCGCTAAAGTGATAAAATTTCTAAAAGCTTTTAAAAGTTTCCTAATTGGTACTTTTGTAATTTATTACTTCTTAAAGTTCGCAAGCTCGATTTTTATTAAGATTAGCATCTTTACGGCAGAATACTAGAGAAAAAGTTTATAATTATTCTTAACCGACTTCAAAAAAAGGAGTAGTTCTCAATTCGACTGATCTTTTTTTAAAGAAATAAAATTTTATTTGCTTAATACATGGTGAACGAAAGATAGAACATAGAATAATAGAACACATATTTTACCTGATTAGGCATTTATACAAATATTTACTTAAATTGGACGCAGTTCAACAAAAAGGATCCAATGCACGTCCAGTCACTTTCGAGATATTTAATTTTGGAGTTCAAAGTGTAAGTGTATCTCACACTTGTTTTATTTTCAAAACTTGTAATGTCATGTAACTCCTGGATATTTATTTATGTCTATATGTTGGATTTTTTTGCTGGTCTAAGTGGTTGGATTTAGGAGTCGTTTGGTACATATTTGATAATTTTGTGGATTGGATCCTTTTTGCTTAACGCCGTCCTAATTAAGTTTAATTACGAGTATAACAATGTCATTGGACATGCACGAGAAATAATCCGTCAATTAATAACAACAAAATAATAACATCCAATGTCAAACTATTAAATATTATTAAATATATTGTGTGAATATTTCTCGATTATTCCGTCATTTGTGAACCGATTTCGATGATTCTTCATTTGTTAGCGAACGTGCACCTCAACAGTAGTCCCATTCAAATTTGAAGAAAATATTCAACATTCAAGGGTGGCAATTTAAGGGATGAATCCGGTGAATTGGATTTCACCCGTGTTCCGTTAACCGAGTTTCATAAAACTTGTTAAATAGAGACAAACTTTTTAGGTCGGTTAAAGAAAAAAATAAAATAAAAACATATTCGAAATAATTGATTAGCATAAGGTATTGTTAAAATTTACCTCAACTTGGTATTGCCGTGTATCCAAATTAATAGCAAAAACTGTTTAGGGTTCAATTGCACAAATCTGAATAAGACGTAAAAAATAAAACACTATAATACCACAAACTAATGGCACAATGTTTTACGTTCCATACCTCATTAGGTAACAATGTTACAATAGGGCAGCAGAATTATTTCGGATACAAATAGTTATTGTTCTACTTTTTCTATTTCTTTATATGAAATAATATAAGGAATATTTTGTCGTAATGGAAAAAGGAAAGAGATATTTGGTCGTAAGGACATAATGGCAAAATGTCTTGTACGACATTTCAAATTTCCACCATCGATATGACCTGCATGCAAGAAGAGCGTTCTGGCTGCGACAGGTGTGCTGCCGTCGCCAGGCGCCGAACTAACTACAAAACGTTGGCTGTTGGCCCACAGCCAGAGATACCACTTAGTTTTGAGCACTGAACCAATACGAGTAATATCCGTTGAGAAAATTGATACTGTTACATCGAAAAGGTAACATTTTATTGTTTACATCTTTTTATAATTCTAGTTTTAGTACCGTAATAAAAATCTTTTATTGAACATAAAGTAAAGCGTTAAGTATAGTGCAAGAGAAAAAAGGCTTATTAATGATAAAAGAGAACTAAAGGGGCAAGATGTGTGAACATCCAATGTAAATGAAGCTATTTAGATCAGAAAATAAAAAGTTGATGTCGTGTTGTGCTACGAAACTAATTGTAATTGGAAACACGGAAGGAAAGTGAGAACGAAGGTCTTGCACTAACAAGATGGTCCA